TGGCGAATGAGACTTCGTGGAAACGTCGCCAAGACACTTCCAATTTGACGCGGGAGAAAACCCGAATAACCAAAGACCTACATATATATATATATATATGTACATACATCTAGACCTTTACAAATGCATATATGTAGGGCTTCATTTTTCAGGGCGGCGTCAACCTCGCGAGGGAGATGAGGGCGGGATGGAGATTGCAGAAGGGAATAAATTGAATAAATGTATGATTTATAGATTTAAATATATATATAGAGAGATATACTTAGGCGTTCCTTTTAAAGGGGGGGGGGTCAGGCTCCTGGAGTCAGCCTCTAAGGGAGATCAGGGCCAGGATGGATATTTCAGAAAGGAATAAATGGAATAAAGATAGGATTTATATCTTTAAAATTTAAATATATAGATATATACTTAGGTGTTCCGCTTGAAAGGGAGTAAGGCGCCCAAGAGTCAGCCTGTAAGGGAGAATGAGGGCAATATGGATATTCCAGAATTGAATATCTTTAAATATATAGAAAGAGACTTGGGTGTGCCTCTTAAAGGGGCTAAGGCACCCAAGAGTCAGCCGCTAAAGCAGTGGTTCTCAACCTTTTTAATGCCGCGACCCCCAACTGGTCGTAAGTCGAGGACTACTCCACTGGTCGTAAGTCGAGGACTACTCAACTGGCCAGCACCGTTTGCAGAATGGGACTTTTGGCGGGCTCAGAAGGGCAGAGACAGCCTGGACAATTCCTATTGGCTTTGGAAAGCCAATAGAACTAGACTCTATTCAAGACAGTCTCTTCTATTGGCTTTCAAAAGCCAATAGAATAAAAGGGAGTAGCACAGCTAAGGAAAAGGGGGGAAAAAATGGCGGATTGCGTTGTTTGGCGACTCCCATGAAATGGTCGTTCGACCCCAAATGGGGTCCTGACCCACAGGTGAAGAACCACTGCTCTAAAGGGAGACGAGGGCAATATGGCTATTTAATAAAAGAATAAACATATTTTATATCTATAGATTTAAATATATATATAGATATGCTTAGGGGGGGTTCCTTTTAAGGGGTTAAGGGGCCCGGAGTCATCTTGGGGTTTAATAAATGAATAAGTTCTACGGTCCTGTAAGGGTCTCCTGCTTGAAGGGAGCGGGTTGGACTAGATGACCGCCAAGGTCCCTTTCCACTCGTCTCATTCCATTCCGTGAAATTGAATGATTATATCTTATGTATTTAAATAAGATAGATATGCTTGGAGGGGGTTCCTTTTAAGGGGGTAAGGCGCCCAGAGTCATCCTCTAAAGGGAGACGAGGGCAATATGGATATTTAATAAAGGAATAAATGTATTTTATATCTATAGATTTAAATATATACCTAGAGAGCTTCCTTTTAAGGGGGTAAGGGGCCTGGAGTCCTCTTGGGTTTAATAAATGAATATATTCTATGGTTCTGTAAGGGTCTCCTGCTTGAAGGGAGCGGGTTGGACTAGATGACCGCCAAGGTCCCTTTCCACTCGTCTCATTCCATTCCGTGAAATTGAATGATTATATCTTATGTATTTAAATAAGATAGATATGCTTTGGGGGGGGGTCCTTTTAAGGGGGTAAGGGGCCTGGAATCATCTTGGGTTTAATAAATAAATGAATAAATTTTTACGATTCTGCTTGACTAGGGGGTTGGACTAGGGGGTTATCCAAGGTCCCTTTCAGCTCTCACCATTCTATGAAATTGAATAATTATATGTTTTTAAATGGATATTTATGCTTAGGGGTTCCTTTTTGCGGGATAAGGCGCCCCGGAGTCATCTCGTGAGGGCGATGAGGGCGGTACGGAGGTTCAATTAACGAATAATTGTATAAATATATTATTTATATCCATATATTTAAATACATATAAATGTACTGGGGGGGGTTCTTTTAAAGGGGTAAGGGTGTCCAGAGTTATCCTGTAAGGGAGGGAAGGGCGGTGTGGAGGTTTAATTGTATATATAGCATGTTTTAAATAGCATGTTTGTGTGTTTTAAATGGGTCTTATGTTTGTGTAAACTTTTGAGAGGAAGCAAGTAAACTTCATTTTTAATGTGTGCCATTGTGCTCACAGGAAAAAGTGACAAGGTTATCTAAATCTAAATTAATGAATAATTGTCTCTGTGTATATGTCTGTCTGTTTGTCTGTCTGTCTATCTATCTAGATATATATATATATATATATATATATATATATAGAGAGAGAGAGAGAGAGAGAGAGAGAGATAGAGATATATACACATATACATATTTTTTTAAAATACACACACACACACACACACACACACACACACACATTTACTGAGGAATTCCATTTAATGGGGTAAGGCACACAGAGTAATCTTGTTGGGCAGATGGATAAGATATAGATCAGGGGTCTTCCAACTTGGCCCTTTTAATGACTTGTGGACTTCAACTCCCAGAATTCCAGTGTGCCTGTCTGAGGAATTCTGGGAGTTGAAGTCCACTAGTGATAAAAGGGCCAAGTTGGAAGACCCCGAATATAGATGTTTAATCAATCAGTTTAATAAATGTATGTATGTATGTAT